AGCTTATCCTCATTGTCTGGAATGTGCCATATTAAGAAATTTCTAACATGTTTTTTTTCTATAAACCATGTTAGAGTAATTAAACTGTAGACCTTGACCAAAATGTGATCTATAATTGTTAATGATCTATTGTTTAAAATAGCGCAGTGTAATAATTGCACTGTAATCTAATTGTTTGCTGTAAAGCAAATAAAGAGGGCATCTCTCTCTCTCTCACTCTCTCTCACTCTCTCTCACTCGTTGCAGTCAATAAGTGTGCCAACTTGTTGACGTCTTTATTTGTGTTTGCGTGCGTTTAAAACTCTTGGCCACGAATATTTTCGCTTATTATTATTGTTAGTAAACAAACACCTTATATTTTATTTCATATCACTATTATGTTTGCGTAGAAAACCTAACTTGATTTTTATTCATCTCTCGTTTGCTTTGTGATTTCGTGCTCATTTTTCAGCTGCGTGAAACGTGTACGCCAAACATAACAGAAGTTTATTGGGGCGACCGTCAGTCTTGCACGAGGGGACAAATAATCTATAATGACGTTATATAATTATTTATTTAACCCACCGTTACTCTATATATGTTTATTTACAATAATATAATTATTTAACAACACATTTTTTCTTATTAATTTATTATTTCAAGTTCTTGATTATTTAGCCTGCAATTAATATCTTAATTTATGTTTCGATGTTAGCAGATTTTTAGTTTTGTTGGAACTTCCATCATTGATTTGATATTTTTTCAATCAAACGATGCTGAACCAATCCAAACCAATACCACCTTACCTATATAAAAGAATGTAACACTCTCGTTTTTTAGTTTTTGAGCAATCTCTCGGGGTGCATCAAAAATCAGTCCATATAACGTCGCGTCAGTTATTATTTTAAAAGGGAAGGTACGGAAGGCGCGTCCGCTCCACCGCGGAAGTCGCCAATGGGCTCTCGTCATCCGATAATTTAGATTACCGCAATTAATTATCACAAAGAAAGATGACAGGAATTATTGAAAATAATGTTTCTTTCTATTGTTTCTTTATTCACATTCGACTTTCGATTTATAATACCCCGATGCAGGGAATTGCAACGCACCGAATCGCACCGATCAAACGCACCGAAGACAAAGCATCGCCTCACAATCACTCGTAAATATGACCTGGCGAACACGGTGCGATTCAATTGCATTCGCAATCACACATCTACGACCCGTTGGTTTTCGCCGAAAGAGAGAAACGAAGGGCGCACAAAAGATGAAAGGGTGAATGACCTGACCTGAGGGAGGGGCGTTGCTGAAGACCTAGCGAGTGCTGTTGTTGCTCTTCACTCGTCGACGCCTTAGTAGTTGTCGTTGTCTGATTTCTTGATCACCGTCCGTAACTCCTGGTTGTGGAGGGACCATGGTTCGTCGTAGCCTGCCTCAACGTTTCTACGTTTTCCAGCAAGGCAAGGCAGATGTCCGCTAATGTTACTCTTTTGTGTTGTATTGATGTTTCACACGTGATTATATTATACAGGGTGAGTCATTTTAATTTCCCCAGTCTAATAACTTTTGAAACAAGCAAATTACGCAAAAATGTTTCAGACCAAAGTTGTAGGGATTCAAGGGGGACATCTAGGGGTGACTTTGAAATTGACCTTGAGCTTGACCTTGACGGTTTTCTCAAGGTCATTTCTATTTTTTTAATGGAAACCCCTATTTCTGATCTCAGGATCAGAAAGAGCGGGAAATTTTACGTTCAAGTATCTATTTAGTTTTTTTTCATAAGAACATAAACAATATTTCAGTTTTTACTTAAGAAATTGAAGCCGCTTTCAAACATCAAAAGGTTTAACGAGCATCGAAGACCTTTGTCGTACTTCTATTCTCAATGTGAAGCAAAGGTCAAATTCTTGAAAATTCTCTTATTTTTGTTACATTTCGAGGCGAAGCTTTTATCGCATATGACCGTTGTTAAATAAACTTCCAAAGAATAAGGGACTGGCCATGTACTAACGATGCTGATGTTTAAGATCATAAACTTCCTATCTTTAGCACTACCCAGGAACAACGACGTGGACGTAATAGGATTATGTTCCCTCTGGGGTGCTTTATTAACGTGAGTCCCCTTGCCTCTCACGATTCGGGGTGCTTTATTAACGTGAATCCCCTTGCCTCTCACGATTTGGGGTGCTTTATTAATGTGAGTCCCCTTGCCTCTCACAATTCGTGATGAAACTAGAATAAACTTATTTCCTATCGGTTTTGCTCGAAATTATTACCATTTACGTCGATGCATTGCCTGAGCCTCTGTTCGAAGCTTTCAATAGTGCGCAGTAAGATATCTCTAGAGATTTGTCTACATGCAACTCTAATCCTTTCTATCATATTCTCTCTTGTTGTGGGCGCTTCGGCGAACACAGTATTTTTTAAGTATCCCCAAAGGAAGAAATCTGGGGAAGTTAAGTCCGGTGATCGTGCAGGCCAAGCAACTGAACCACCTCTTCCAATCCACCTTTGTTGGAAATTTCTATTTAAAAACTCTCGTACAATTAAAGCGAAATGCGGTCCTGCACCATCCAGTTGTATCTACATTCGACGTCTAGTCTCAAGATCTACGTCTTCAAGTAAAAGTGGGAGATGATCCCTTAAAAGTTCTAAAATAGCATTGCCGTTGACGTTTTCTTCAAAAAAGAATGGCCCGATGAGATGACCATTAACTATTCCACACCATACATTTACACTCCAACGATGTTGATTATCGACTGGTCTGTACCAGTGAGGATTCTGATCAGACCAATAATGACTGTTGTGACGATTCAATTGGCCAGTACTATGAAACGTAGCTTCATCAGAAAAAAGGACATAATTAAAAAAATTCGGATCCTGCAAAATCATCTGTAGAGCCCACCGACAGAAATTTACTCTGTTTCTCATATCATTAGCGTTTAATGCTTGCGTTAAGGTAATATGATACGGATGATATCTATTACTTCTTAAAATTCTAATAACGGTTCTCTGAGGTATTCCTGTTTCTCTCTCTATTTGTCGGCTGCTGATATGAGGATTTAGGTGAACCAATCCTAAGACAACCAAAACCCTAGCATCTCTATCATCATACTCATGTCTTGGTCGACTTCTTCGTAGATGCCCTTGTCGAGCTCTTTCTTCAAGACGATGAATGGTACGGTGATCAGGATGGCGCCTTTGTGGGTATCGAATTCGATACAACCTTGACGCTTCACGGTAATTACCTCTACATTCTCCTAAAATCCAAATCATATCAACTATCTCTATTGGGGTAAAATCAGCCATATTTAAAAGATTTTTTCAAAAAACCTCAATACAAATCAACAAAGGCCAAGATCATAGAAAGATGATACAAATTAAATATTACTGAAAACAGAGGCAATATTGTCCAAATTAGATTTCATATGATCGATGGCAATAAGAAAGGTCTCTTATTCAAATATGAAGAAATAATGATAGTGATACAATGAACACAAGCATGGTTAAAACAAAAGTAATATTTAAAGCTTTTTCAAAATTGAAATCACGACTGAACGTATTGCGATTACTTTCTAAACGACTTCCAAATGTAATAGATTCTTCATTGAACATGAAATTTATCCTTATGTATTTAACTTTTACTCTTATTTCTTTGCAGAACATCAGATTGATACTGAAATAGTTTCATTAATTTAATAGACTTGTAATAGCAAATTATTAGCAACAACTTCCAATATTTGAAATTTATTAATAATAATCATACAGTCCGGTGAAAAATAAAAAAGGATAGGGAACGGAAACAAGAATAGTCCCGTAAAATTTAAAAAAATTAAATTTAAAAAATTTTTAAATTTAAAAAATTTAAATCCTGTAAAATTTCCTGCTCTTTCCGATTCCAAGGTCAGAAATAAGGATTCCCAATAAAAAAATAGAATTGACCTTGAGAAAGCCGTCAAGGTCAAGCTCAAGGTCAATTTCAAAGTCACCCCTAGACGTCCCCCTTGAACTCCTACAACTTTTTTCTGAGTCATTTTTTCGTATTTTGCTTACATTGTTCGATTCTTGTTCCAGGATAGTTTTGACCTTAGCATGACCTTAAGGGTTTATTTTGACCCATGTTAAAAGATGTTATCTGGATGTAAAATTTCCCGCTCTTTCCGATTCCGAGGTCAGAAATAGGGGTTCCCAATAAAAAAATAGACTTGACCTTGAGAAAGCCGTCAAGGTCAAGCTCAAGGTCAATTTCAAAGTCATCCTTAGATGTCCCCCTTGAACCCCTACAACTTTGGTCTGAAACATTTTTGCGTAATTTGCTTGTTTCAAAAGTTATTAGACTGGGGAAATTAAAATGACTCACCCTGTATATCACTCGTATATTGCATTACAATGCTGGTCAGACCAGTAGTTCCCGTGCTCTCTCGCTTTTCGCGGCATATTTCTCGCCCCTTTCTATAAGCCTCAAGAACGACTAAATGCCACCGGCTATGCACATATGTTGAGATCATGCAGGGCGACACTACTTCTCTCTCTGTCTTTCTCTCTTATTCTCACTTATAGCTTTCTTCCCACTCCAGCCGCTCCGACCACCGATGCCGATCAGGAGTTATAACTAAAACAAAGCTACATCGAGCGTCGATACTCAGTTCGAACAACCAAGACACCGATACGGCAGCGGTGAAGGGGAAGGGATGGAGAAGAGAGAGAGAGAGAGGCGAACAGGGCGAACGATCTCAACGATCACTCCACTTTTCACAAGAAAATAAGCTAAATTAAGCCAAATTGAGCCAATAAGCTCAAACCGAATTTATATAACTATTACGATGAGCCTACAACAGAGTAAATAGGAAGCTAAATGTAACTATATTATTTTTAATAATTTTAGTAAATATTGATCTGGATAGCTATTAATTTAAGAATTTAATACATAAAGTAGAGTAAGATTGGAAACAATTTTGTTATGCAGTTACTTTGATATTTAATATATGAATATAGTTTTAAACAATTATTAACTTTAGTAGGTAAACAATGGGGGTACGAGCTCACGCCATCGGGTACCAGCTCACGGTACTACAGCTAAGTGGGGATACTAGCTCAAGATATGGGTACGGCACAATGCCTCTCCGTTTCTACCACCACTCAAGGCACCGTCGAATTGCCTACCGCTGGCCACACCATCACTCTAACCGTCATCGGAGCGTGATACGGAATAAGAGGAAACACCTATTTATTAAATTGTTATTTATTAATAAAAAACTTTTTCGAATCATTATTATAATACAATCAATAATTAAACTAATTAAAAGTATCTGAAATATAATTAGGACTGAAACCTGATTTTTTGGCGATTCTGCTTATTGCCAGTAGCCATGTACCTTTCAGTGCGTATCTCATAAATTGTTTTTGCAACTACTTTACATTTGCAACAACAATTTAAAATAAAGGAAAACTCCATAATAAATGGTAAAAACTATTAATACTTACATAGGAGGTTGATAATCTATAACGGGCACTGTTCCTTCACAATAAAATAACACATTATTGTCGTCTAACATCAAGTATAAAAAATAAAAAATATATTTTTTATCAAAAAATTAAACATTTATTTTTTATTTTTAGTATACTATATTTTATATTTAATTTTATTTTTAGATTTATATAATAACAGAGAGAAAGAGTGAGAGAAGAGAGAGACAGAAAGAGAGATAAAGAAAGAAAGAAAGAAAGAAGGAGAAAGAGATAAGATTCTATCAAGCAATTTACGGAGAAAATAAAGCGTGAAGTTTTCTATGAGCCCAGCATAAATCACAATAGGAGAAAGAAAGCTTGCTTAGCTAATCACAATAGAGAAACGAATTGAGTATAAATCAAGTTTATTCAATCTCCAGCGTTCAGTTTACAAGGCTAGGAGAGAATATCTCTCACCTATGCAAAAGTGAGACTTTTTGTATACAGGTTTTAGAGCCCCATTTACGCTGGATAGCCCTTTTCACGCTGTTTCTACAAATGTGCAAAATCATTTTCTCTTGTTTAAAAGTTATTAACCAACCAAGTCAGTTAATTCAATAGCGTAAATTTTACAATAAAATAATTGAAATTTTTTACATAGAAAAATAACTTATTGCTTGTAGATATTATTACAAATAAGACATACTTAAATTATTTAATAATATTTAAATAATTAATTTATGTTTTTTTACAACATTTTATTTGTTGGAGTTTTTTTCTACAGATTCCGAGATAATGAGAAAAACATAAGATAATGAGAATGAAAAAAAAATTTCAGAAGAAATTTTATAACTTTTTAACAGCCTGATGAAAAAAAAATCTGTTGCGCTCATTTGAATAAGAACATAAATACGTATCTTTTTTATCTGAGTTATTTTAAGTCCGCCTAGCGGTTGAAAAATTATAAACGATTTTTCGTGTCAAAAAAATTAAAAAAAAATGTGATTTGTTTTTTTAACATAAGAGACAAAATTTTCAATCTTTTTGGACTAAACCAACAAAATTGTAAAGCTATTGGTTTATTCTTTATAATAGCGTTAACTTTTTTAAAGAAATATTTATTGTTGACTGAGGTAGACAACTTTAAAGTTTGACTGATTTTTTTTTTTATTAGAAACTTATGTTTGCTACTGTAATTAAAATTGATTGGATATTTCTAGAAAATAAAGTGAGTTAATTATACTTTAAGTTTAATTTTGTTACAGGGTAGCAGTTTCATTAAGTAGCAGTTTCATTAAGAAGTATATTTTTTTAGTTAATGAAATATCGTTTTATAAATTAATAAAATAATATACATACCTTCATTGCACATTAACTTGATTATATAAGATATGAAAATTGATTAAAACAGTAGACTTAAGCATAAGCTCTAAAAATATTAAGTATTTCAGACTAGAAATTAAAAAGTTATAAGATTATAGTTGTGATTAGCACAACAATATTACTACAAGATTAACCGCAATCTAACTAAGCATACAATTCTGTATTCTTGTTTGATTACGCATAAAAAATCAATTTAATTTTGAGTTATATAGTTGAAAAAGACGTTGATTGATGAGCAGCTGAGAGACGTGATACTATCTATATCAATTACCTTTTTTTAAAGTTGAAAAACACAAACTTACACACTAGAAAATTCTCAGGTTATTATAGTTTTCCAGTCACTTATAAGATGATGTATTTTGCGAAAGTTTCAAAAGCCGTAAAGTTTAAAAAATATCACTTCAGCTGACAATTACTTATCAAGCAAGTTCTTTTGCAAAGTTACTTTTTTGCAACTTAAATTTTGCGTTTCCATGCATTGCTTTTATTAGTTTATTTATATCGACGATTACAAATTTACTATCGTAAAAGCTAAACATGAGTTACAAAAATTAATATAGCCAATGTTTTACATTAAATATCAGTTTTATCTGTAGTTAATGAAATAGTAAATACAAATTTTCAGAAGTCATCAATAAAGTAAATCCCTATGAGTATGAAAATCCTAAAAAAGATAAAAATCATATTTTTTGAACATTGGATATTTTTAAATAGAAAACAATGCATTCTACATGAAATTTGAGAATAACTTTTTTATTCAAAATAGTCAAAGAAATCTGACAATATTTTTTTCAAAGCCAAAAATTTACCTTCACACAATTTTTGTTGGAAACATTGTTTAAACAAATGATTTATCACTTGGAATCTTGGCATCATGTATTTTTATAGAATTTTTAAGTACTTTAATATCCAGAAGTATAATTAAAAGTTCAATGCTGTGATTTCCTTTGTGTGGCTTATTAAATACTTTTCAACTATCGGCCAAAGAGAATTTTCATATTTAAATACAATTTTACCACCAAAAATTTGTTATTACCTGACATATGATGAATTTCAACTTCTATTTATTCAGTAAATTATTTTTAAACTTATATTTTCTTATTAAAAACAATTATTTTTAATTTTTACTCTAAAGATCTACAGCCTCAAAAAATTTTGCATTTTCACGAACTTTTTGAAGGATAGGAAATCTATTTTGACACTCGTTATAGGTTTTCCTGTATTCTATAAGTAATTAGCTTTACATTGAAATCGATTTTATCAAAATCTGTCAATTCTAAGTTGAGATAGTTCATTTTAAATATAATTTTTTGATGTTTTAATATAATACCACAGTGTGCGCCACCTCCGAATGAAACCGAAAAGGACTTATGCATATACCTGGTAATAATGAGAATTGGCATATCTATATCTATATGTAGAGTGATGTTACGCTCCTTATATGGTTATGAAATTTGACTCTTGCTCTAATACAATTATATAATACGTGACGTGGCGCCGTTCTATATGCTGATTGATAGGTGTAGATTTGCGAGTTTAGCGGGTTGCCGTAATACAATGAAAATTAGAAAATAGTCTAGGAACTCATGAATAGAACCGTTACACAGTTATCATTGAAATTATCTATTTATGATTGATAAATTACTAAAGGACTATATTTAGAAAAAAAAAGTTTAATATATAAAATTGACTATAAAGGTACATAATAAAACTTTTCTGTAAATGTATAAAATTCTAACACTTATTTTAAAAGACGCTTATGATTTCATGAATAAACACTTGGTTGGCAATATCAGAATCGTAGGTTTGCATCCTAGTCTGTGTAAAAAATTTATAGTTAATTTGTTTGTGTAGTTAGAGCACACACTCATGCTTGGTCCTTTCTTTGTTGAGGTACGGCGCAAGGATGAGCGGCGAAGGAGGGCGCGCCCTCGCCGATGAGTATATTGGTAAAGACGCGTCCGGTGCGCTGAGTGATTTGTGTTATCGGCTGGATCACGTCCAACCACTGAATTGTTTTGGTTTCCTGACAACGTTGCGCGTGTGATTCCGGCGAGGCGATGCGGGTGCGCGTATGAGCGGCCATGTGCAGAGTGACAACAGGCAGCGAGGAGCGGCAACAGCAACCGACAGTGAGGAGCGAAAAAGCTACGATAGTAACAGTAATAACAACGACAACAGAAGCAACAGCAACAACAACAATCGGAAAAAAAGCAACAACAACGATAAGGGCAGTGGCCACGACAACAAGGACATCAACGACAATAACGACGGTGTTAGCATTGGAGCAGGAAATCAGTGGATATGGTCGTTTTTCTCCCATTCTCTTTCGTAGTTGCATCTACATCTTGCGGCTAGCGTGGTAGATCTGTCAGTTATACCATCGGGCGCGACTACTGAATGAATTTTTTATGGAATCTTCTTTGTTCTCTCTCTCTCTCGGTGAGTAGTAGCACGCTGGTTTTTGAGGTGCTCTTCTTTTGTTAATCTTTCCTTACTCTTGCCACTTCCTCGAGTGGCATACTTTTGCAGGCGAGTTCGTCCAGCTGGCCTCTGCGCTTCTGCTAAAAATTCTTGGCTTTTAGTCAATTTTGTGGCCAGTGGATGAATTATTCGCTCACCTAGTTATAACATAACCTTCACCAAATCACTAACTTTAACGAATTTTCGAGCTACACACCTCTGCCAATATCAACAACGCTAACAACAACACAGTCTCCACACCAGGACCACTACACTCTACACATTACACACTGCAAACCTTATTGATTGCAACACATCTAAACTTTTGCTGCTAAGTACCTGTCAACAATTTTACCGTTACTCCACACATTATAATCTACTCGGAGAGACTCCTCACTGCCGGTCTTATTTTTTGCTCTACTATTTTTCATCGCTTGAATTGTCTTGCGTTTTAGTTATCGCGATGGCTATCCTATTTTATTTTTATTTTTAGTTTACTTTATCTTGTTTTGTTTCCTTTAATTTTAATTTTTGTTGTATATCTAGCGCTATCTACACGCTAGAAAAATTTTAATTTTAATTTTAATTTTAATTTTATTTTATTGAAAATGTCAACCCATGTTCTTTTCTAAATTAATTAAAATTTTATTTTTATGGAATTCCTGCGTTCGTTTTCATCAATCAGTGTTTTTTTTCGGTTTGTTTTTATGTAACAGTCGTTTTAGGTTAACTTGCGAATACCTTTTCCGCCTCCTGTAAATGGTATCATTTTACTCCTGAATCTCCCGCCAATTTCGATCTTTAACAAACAGAGTTGGTGTCACTGAGGCGCCAATTTTCAAATCTTTCAAATTCTGACTTTTCTTAGCTCCTGTTTATGACTGGTCAGTGACTCAAATTTTTGCGCGAAATTCGAACATTTCAATTTGCCGTATCCATCTGTCCTCTACAAATTACCTCTTGTATTACAGTTTTCTTGTGAAGTTTTGAGATCCGAGGAGGCGAAATACGTAAAATTTGACACAATCTGTGAATTTTTATTATTTATCACAATTCGTTCTTAATTTTCTGAATTGTTCACTTTTATCAAATGGTCTTGTCTTTATGCGCCGAATGTGGTAAAGCATTGAGTTGCCGGGGTGGCAATATCTCACAGTGCGAAGCTTGTGCTAGATTTTTCCATCA